ATGGCGGCTAGCAGACAGCTGTTTGGTATATGGAACTATCTGACAAAAGATATGCGAACCGTTACTTAAAGTTTGTGCACCTTAGTCACAATTTGCTGGTCATGATACAACGAGAGAATTCTAATTATTTTCATATCTGCATAGGACCTGTCCTTTAATCCTTGAGCATCCAGTGTTCTTATAAATATTGAGGAAACAATCGCCACCACCTTCGCCCACGGGGGTAATCTGACTGGATAACTATTGTCAGCTAAGTATCTTTTAAATATGGTCCGAAACAAATATGTGGAAGTGAATAGGGCCAAAAACCAGGCTATTTATCCGTTTATATAATACCCTGGATTACTGAGGATGCTGTCACTTACTTCTTGAGTGTCGCAGTGGGGGAGGTCTTGTCCCAGGTGAAAGTGCCATTCTTCAGACTGATCGCATGTTCTGTAATACAGACAGTGAGTGAGTGAATGTTGAGTATTATCACGGCGTGCCGGCTTAATGTCGGGGGAATTCTCCAAGCCACACATAGGGTAGACTAACAATGATAATAATAATATTTAAAACAAAGCATTCCACAGTTTTCTTAAACGAACCAAGGGTGTGGGACACGTCGGTGTTGATTTTGTTGTGGTTCAGAGGGTACAGAAATGAGTGTCAACCAAGCGAAGTGCCATATCAAATCGGCCCAGACTCAGTTTTTCAAGGAGAGGCTATCTGAACGACCACTGCATCGAGTTTATGTGCAGTGTGTTGCGAAGATCGTCAGCCCTGCAGAGTCCTTCGCTTGGATGAAGTTGTCTGGCCTGAAAAGTGAAACAGAAGGCTTTCTGTTTGCTGCTCAGGACCAGTCACTTTCCACTCGAAACCGTCAATGTGTGATTTTGCCTCAAAATGTAAATATGAAATGCAGAATATGTAATGAATTTAATGAGACTGCCCAACAGAGAGTGGGTCGATCATATTATTACCGTCTTCGCCATGCTTGTGGTTTAGACGCAGAGGTCCATCCATGGTACGACCTGGAATATGTAGAGGGCGTCATGGAAAATGATAAATCCAAATTCCCCCCGACAAGCCCGTATACAGCCTCAGACATATCCAGGCCAACAAACCCGATCTTGTCCTTTTTGATAAATCCAATGAAATCATTTATATTATTGAATTTTCTGTCCCTTTTGACACTTATGTGATTGACAAGATTCAAGAAAAACATGGCAGATTTGCGGACCTCGCTTTCGAAACGTCATGCTTGCATTCCAAGTATCCAAGTTGTCCGACTCCCCATTGTTCTCGGTGCCTTAGGTTTGGTACCTCCCAATCTGTTGACTGACATTGGAAGAGTACCCGGGTGTGTTGCCAGGAATACAGGCCTTCTGACAATCTTGGTAATGCAGAAGGCTGCAGTGTTGGGGAGTCTTCATATTCTCCGAAAAGTTCTCGGTGGGTTTGACTAGGCAGCGTTTCCTGGGTGAAGTCCCATTCGCTGTCTGGGCTGCGTGTAGAGGGGGCAAGGGCCCTGAGCTGATGATGAGCCTAACCAGCCTGACTGTTCCTGGATCACCCAAACCCTCTTAGCTCATCAGTCCGGAGTAGAACAGGTCTTCGGCAACCCATGCTTGTCGTAACGACTTCATGTTAGAGACGACTTGTGGGATCGGGTGGTCAGGCCCGCTGACTTAGCTGATGCATGTCTTCGTATCCCAATTGCGTGGATTGATGCTCTTGGTGCCAGTCACTGGATTGTCTGGTCCAGATTTGATTATCGACAGGCCGTCTGTCAATAACACATACTGTCGCGGCCACACTTTGTTGAACGAGGGGTTTTGGTGAAAATAGCTTTACGTTGTGTTCAAGGATTTTGCACTTTTAAGTGGCGAAAAAGTATTCACGTTTATGTACCCGTCCGTGCTAGTGCCGCTTTTATAGTGCTGAGATACCAGGCCGCAGTTTAACATGAATACCCCACTCAGACACAGTATACTGACTCCGAGCCAAACAGTCCTAGTTTTAGCCAATTAATGCAATTAAGGCAGGGTAACAACAAGTACCATCTTTTATGTCTTTTGATATCACGCGGCCAGGGATCGAAGCACCGACCTTCTGTTCTCCGGATGGACGATCTACCCACTAGAACAAGACGGCGGGTTGACTAAATATGAGGGAAAACTTACGGGTGTGAGGGTCCCGTGTGACATTGCTGGGGTCCAAGTCACCCTGCCTCAAGAACTTCCCAACTCGGCCGACAGAGACTTGAGCCTGTAAAGAAACATTATAAACACAATTAAACACAAATGTGAACAAATACACTGATCCTGTCAATAAACACAATTGGACTGTCAAAAAGGACAATGAGCCTATTAATACACACACTGAACCTGTCAATAAACACAATGAACACACTGAGCCTGTCAATAAACACAATGAACACAGTGAGCCGATCAATTAACACAATGATTCTGACAATAAACACAATGAGCCTATTAATAAACACAATAAACGCAATGACCCTGTCAATAAACACAATGATCATGTCACTAAACACAATGAGCATGTCAATGCACACAATGAACCTATCAATAAACACAATTATCCTGTCAATAAACACAATAAACACAATGAGCCTGTCAATTTACACAATAAACACATTGAGCCTTCAATAAACACAATGAACCCGTCAATAAATACAATGAGCATGTCAATGAACAACATTGATCTTGTCAATAAACACAATAAACACAATGATCCTGTCAATAAACACAATGAGCCTGTCCAAAAAGAAACCACTTGGTTTTGCACAAATAACTTTAGAACTAGACCATCCAGGTATTCACATATTTTGGGAAAAAAATACCAAATATTACTTATCAATCTGAGGTTATCATCAATCATTCTCTTAAGGTTTCCAAACCTAAAGCACCACGTGATATATGTACAGCATCTTAGAGTAATGACTATATAGGCTTGCTCATGTTGAAACATGGCATGTCAAACCATTTATATAAATATTTTTAAAGGTTAACAGTGCTGATCACTGTCAACCATTACATATAAAGATATATGTGTGTATTTTTTTATAAGTTGCGTAGAACGGGGAATGGGGGATGCTGTATTTTCTTTGTTGGAGACCCTGGATTTTCAGGCAATGCACTTGGATATAAGGCTGGGAGTTGGGTAGTGAGGCTGGCTGTACAAGTGGATGTAAGGCAGGGTGTTGGGTAGTGAGGCTGGCTGTACAAGTGGATGTTAGGCTGGGTGTTGGGTAGTGAGGCTGACTATACAGGTGGATGTAAGGCAGGGTGTTGGGTAGTGAGGCTGGCTGTACAAGTGGATGTAAGGCAGGGTGTTGGGTAGTGAGGCTGACTATACAGGTGGATGTAAGGCAGGGTGTTGGGTAGTGAGGCTGGCTGTACAAGTGGATGTAAGGCAGGGAGTTGGGTAGTGAGTCTGACTGTACAAGTGGATGTAAGGCAGGGTGTATGGTAGTGAGGCTGGCTGTACAAGTGGATGTAAGGCAGGGAGTTGGGAAGTGAGGCTGACTATACAAGTGGATATAAGGCTGGGTGTTGGATAGTGAGTCTGATTATACAAGTGGATATAAGGCTTGGAGTTGGGTAGTGAGGATGGCTGTACAAGTGGATGTAAGGCTGGGTGTTGGATAGTGAGGCTGACTATACAAGTGGATATAAGGCTGGGTGTTGGATAGTGAGTCTGATTATACAAGTGGATGTAAGGCTTGGAGTTGGGTAGTGAGGATGGCTGTACAAGTGCATGTAAGGCAGGGGGTTGGGAAGTGAGGCTGACTATACAAGTGGATGTAAGGCTGGGAGTTGGGTAGTGAGGCAGACTATACAAGTGGATGTAAGGCTGGGTGTATGGTAGTGAGGCTGGCTGTACAAGTGGATGTAAGGCTGGGAGTTGGGTAGTGAGGCTGACTATACAAGTGGATGTAAGGCTGGGTGTATGGTAGTGAGGCTGGCTGTACAAGTTGATGTAAGGCAGGGTGTTCGGTAGTGAGGCTGGCTGTACAAGTGGATGTAAGGCAGGGTGTATGGTAGTGAGGCTGACTGTACAAGTGGATGTAAGGCTGGGAGTTGGGTAGTTAGGCTGACTATACAAGTGGATGTAAGGCTGGGGGTTGGGAAGTGAGGCTGACTATACAAGTGGATGTAAGGCTGGGAGTTGGGTAGTGAGGCTGACTATACAAGTGGATGTAAGGCTGGGTGTATGGTAGTGAGGCTGGCTGTACAAGTTGATGTAAGGCAGGGTGTTCGGTAGTGAGGCTGGCTGTACAAGTGGATGTAAGGCAGGGTGTATGGTAGTGAGGCTGACTGTACAAGTGGATGTAAGGCTGGGAGTTGGGTAGTTAGGCTGACTGTACAAGTGGATGTAAGGCTGGGAGTTGGGTAGTTAGGCTGACTATACAAGTGGATGTAAGGCTGGGGATTGGGTAGTGAGTCTGGCTGTACAAGTGGATGTAAGGCTGGGGGTTGGGAAGTGAGGCTGACTATACAAGTGGATGTAAGGCAGGGAGTTGGGTAGTGAGGCTGGCTGTACAAGTGGATGTAAGGCTGGGTGTATGGTAGTGAGGCTGGCTGTACAAGTGGGTGTAAGGCTGGGAGTTGGGCAGTGAGGCTGATTATACAAGTGGATGTAAGGCTGGGAGTTGGGTAGTGAGGCTGACTATACAAGTGGATGTAAGGCTGGGAGTTGGGTAGTGAGGCTGGCTGTACAAGTGGATGTAAGGCTGGGAGTTGGGTAGCGAGGCTGGCTGTACAAGTGGATGTAAGGCAGGGAGTTGGGTAGTGAGGCTGGCTGTACAAGTGGATGTAAGGCAGGGTGTTGGGTAGTGAGGCTGGCTGTACAAGTGGATGTAAGGCTGGGAGTTGGGTAGCGAGGCTGGCTGTACAAGTGGATGTAAGGCAGGGAGTTGGGTAGTGAGGCTGACTATACAAGTGGATGTAAGGCTGGGAGTTGGGTAGTGAGGCTGGCTGTACAAGTGGATGTAAGGCAGGGAGTTGGGTAGTTAGGCTGGCTGTACAAGTGGATGTAAGGCTGGGAGTTGGGTAGTGAGGCTGGCTGTACAAGTGGATGTAAGGCTGGGTGTATGGTAGTGAGGCTGGCTGTACAAGTGGATGTAAGGCTGGGTGTATGGTAGTGAGGCTGGCTGTACAAGTGGATGTAAGGCTGGGAGTTGGGTAGTGAGGCAGACTATACAAGTGGATGTAAGGCTGGGAGTTGGGTAGTGAGGCTGACTATACAAGTGGATGTAAGGCTGGGAGTTGGGTAGTGAGGCTGGCTGCACAAGTGGACAATCAGTACTGACCTGCACCAGGAATGACACCATCAAGGGCAACAGGGTGATGGGGAAGCGGAGGATGTTGAAGAGGGAGAGGGCAACGAAGGCCTTCTGTGCATCCAGGTAGTGAGACTCTGAGGCCAAGACATACGTGGCAAACGTGGCCAGGGTTACCTGTGGAGAGAATATGCACACCTGTGAACATTTAGTATACACCTGCGGACATTCGCTCCACACCTGCAGGCATTCACTCCACACCTGCGGACATTCACTCCACACCTGCAGACATTCACTCCACACCTGCAGACATTCACTCCACACCTGCAGACATTCACTCCACACCTGCAGACATTCACTCCACACCTGCGGACAATCACTCCACACCTGCAGACATTCACTCCACATCTGCAGACATTCACCCCACATCTGCAGACATTCACTCCACATCTGCAGACATTCACTCCACACCTGCACACATGCACGTATTCACTCTTCACATGCACACGTTCACTGTACACCCGCTGACATCCACTCTACACCTGCACACCTGTTGACATTCTCTCTACACACGCACACCTGTAGATATAAGACATTAAATTTACGACTGTACACCTGTTGCCATTCACTCTTCGCCTGTAGATATTCAGCCTACACCTTCAGACATTCCCTCTACATCTGCACACATGCAGACATTCGCTATTCATCTGCACACCTGTTGACATTCAATCTACACTTGCACACCTGTTGACATTCACTCTACACCTGCACACCTTTAGACATTCACTATGCACCTTTAGACATTCACCCTAAACCTGCACACCTTTAGACATTTCCTCTACACCTGCACACCTTTAGACATTCACTCTACACCTGCACACCTGTTGACATTCAATCTACACCTGCACACCTGTTGACATTCAATCTACACCCTCACACCTGTTGACATTCACTCTACACCTGCACACCTGTTGACATTCAATCTGCCACTGCACACTTGTTGACATTCACTCTACATCTTTAGACATTCACTCTACACCTGCACACCTTTAGACATTCACTCTACATCTGCACACGTGTTGACATTCACTCAACACATCAGCAGAACATGGCCCCTATCTTACGTACCATGAATGGAGCACAAGTAAAGCAGAAAGTGCTCCCTGCCTCCAGGTACGCCCCCTTTTTGAGGACGAGAAGCTCCTTATTCCGGATCTCCAACACCTTCTCCTGGAAGGACGGCTCCCACGCATACAGCTTGAGCACCTACAGGTGAAACACACGGGGTGAGGTGAGGTGAAATTGGGTTTAACGTCGCGTCCAAGATTATTGCACTTATATAGCGACGTGCATGCACGTGTATGTGTGTGTGTGGCTGCTTGTACTAGTCCGGACTGATGCCGATTTATAGTGCTAGCTCACTGAGATACCATGCCGCAGTTTAACATGAATACCCCACTCAGACACAGTATACTGACTCCGAGCCGACCAGTCCTTGTTTTAGACCCTTAATGCCGAGCGCCAGACAGGGTAACAACAAGTACAATCTTTTAACGTCTTTTTGTATGACGCGGCCCGGGATCGAACCCTCGACCTTCCGCTCTCCGGGCGGACGCTCTACCACAAGACCACGGAGGCGGTCTGAAACACACGGGGAATATCCACTAGAAAACACTCGTTATTACTCATTTCAATTAATAGTACAAAGTTAATTATATCGACAGGACACACTTCTCAAGTCACATTTCACAATGACTAGCATTGCTTCCATACCTGAGTACAAATAAATTGCAATTTCATGGCGTTTGATTGGATAGACAAGCAAAGAAAATTGCGTTTATGTTTCCGTAAATTGAAAAAAAAAGTAAGCCGTGCCCACAAACTACTTTTTCCTGATTAGAAACAATTACATATATTGTTAGCAATTGCATTAGTAAACTTACCGCTGGTTTATAATGGCCCTATTTCTCCTGCTTAGGGAGCCTGAGTAAATCTGAGTAGATGATCGTAAGAGTTTATCGAGGGCTTACTAGATACAAGTTTTAATCGTAAAAGGTCTCAAGCTAATGCAAAAGCCGATCTATAATCTTCCCAAGTGCCGTATTTTTGACGGAGGTAAATGGGAAGACTGGCAATGTTGGGAATAGTTTTATGTTGACACTTAACTCCGAGGTTAGATCACCATAACTGGAATCTGTTCCACTTAGAATTGTAAAGTGCAGAAGGTGACTACTTGATGGATTTAGAAATGCAAGATGAGACTTCATCTGAAAATTCATTCTGAGACAGAGATTGTTTGATAATTTCCAGACATGTAGATGTAGATTTTGAACATTTGGCTGACACAGGAGATGTGTTTCCAATCAGGAAGTGGATACATCAATAAATCAATGATATAGCTGGCCACGCCAGGGCTACAAGGAACATGGTGCAGTGATGCATTTGAATCTTCCTCGGAATTTCTGGAATCAGATTGGTAGGCGGGTAGAAATTAACCAAGAAAGTCTACAAGCCCAAAATGTGATAGCACATAGCAATAACCTCAAAATGACTGAAAATCTACAAGATCTTAGGGCAGTAACATTAACAAAACTGGTCCTGGTTAGAGGGCAAGTGATAATTTCTATACCTGGGGTAAGCATATCCCAGTATCCCATCCCATGATATTGACTCCCCATGCCTCCAGAGGGGCGGTCGGGTAGCCTAGTGGTTAAAGCGTTCGCTCGTCACGCCGAAGACCCGGGTTCGATTCCCGACATGGGTACAATGTGTGAAGCCCATTTCTGGTGTCCCCCGCCGTGATATTGCTGGAATATTGCTAAAAGCGGCGTAAAACCATACTCACTCACTCACTCACCCATGCCTCCAGACTGACAAAGACTGACGTCTCTTGTTTGAGGCGTGTCGCGAAAAGATCCTTAAGCGGCAATACCCAAACCTGACTGATAAATTCGAAAGCGTGTGGTTGTGGAGTCCATCCCTGGAGACTACTTTGTTGGCCCGAGAGAAACTGTCCACCAGAATGTAAATTCCCTGGATGTGATGGACCTGAATCATGCCCTGTACGTTACGAATAAACGTCTGGTCTCCCCCATTAGAGAACAGGATTTGGTTCCCCCCTCTTTGTTGATAAAAGCCACGACTGCTGAATTCTCTGTGGCAATGAGAACAAAAGTGTTGACGATCCGAGCTAATGTCATTGGTCCCACTTCGAACTAATTGGTGTGAACTCTGAGCTATAAGGCCCACCATGTGAGGAATCCGGATAAAGGTTTAGAAGACACGTTGGAAAGGAAAATGTGACATTCTCTGGGTCAATCTACCAAAGTAGTTCTGTTCTTACTTGAACTACTTGATCCACGTCAAGGTTCTTGAAATGATTTAGCTATGCTAAACGTTCAGTCTTCTGTTCACTGTAAAATCCTTGATCAATGTTAGAGACCCTATCAGAGATTTCCTTAATGGAACCTGATCCCTGACTCAGAAGGATTTCTATTTCCAAGAACCTGTTCTGTTGTAGAGATACAATGCCGGTGATATAGTTGAGCATTGCTCTAATGTATTTCATGACTTGAGAACGGATCAGCTCCGAATTTTCCAGATGAACTATGAACCAAAAAACACTAAAAGCCTAGAGAGTTGTCCACTTGATACAATTCCACAATGGCTCCTTTCTGTAATATCTGTAATATCTGATTCACGGCTTCAATGGCTGCCGACAGCTGGGGTTCTTGGGGATAGAATATTTGCCAACAGGGTCAATTGAGGTGAAAATCCCCACCTGAACAACACTGAATATCTCTAGGCAGATTAGTTCATTCATTCAAGATCTTCTCTGCAGTGGGAGTTGTGGTGAAATGCTACTCCTAAAAAAAATGTGCTTCTCTCAATGACAGTCAAGTCCCTTACAGGCAAGGTTGAACTGATAAAGATGATCACCACTCAAAAAGGAACACCAAGTTTCACCATGGAAGATCCAAAGCACAGAAGTCTGGATGTGGAACCATTCAACCTTCCTTCATACATTGCTGGAGAAAAATCTGAACTCAGTTGTCAACAGGGTTAATTTAGGTCTGGACAGTCCTGTTACGCTGATCTATCAAACTAGACTGCTGCAAGCTGGACAGTTCACGATAGTTCAAGACAAATGATGCTCGAGCAACATCTCTGTCAACTGTACATGATGTCTTCTGCCAGGCCCTAGAAAACAAAGGTGCATTGAAGCTACAACCAGTAATAGTTGTATTCGATCAAGCTATGTATGCCTAGGCTGATGAAGTTGCGTGGAAACATGAAGTGAAATTTTGAAGCCTTGTCCTGCGACTTGGTGTCTTCCACACAATCTGCACCCAACTGACTTTGGCGATGCAACTGTGCATCTGACTCCCACAAGTATTGTGGTAGATAGTAGTTCTGTATATATTAATCATGTTTTATTAATTAGCTTTTAATTTACTATGTATGTTGTCAATAATGGTATTTTGTATATTTCAGATATTGCAGTAATCAAGAATTATTTATTGTATTTCTCATTTCAGGCTGCATACTTAAGTAGTTGTTAGTCAAGTATTGTCATTAAAGCCCTATTCCAATGTCATGTTTTACTTAGTGGGTCAGTCAACTGCTTGGTGGTCAATCAGAGTGTAAGCCCAGGCGTCCTCTGGATTGGCTAGTTTTAAATCTCTGTGTCCCACTTTCTAACCCCTTTGTTTTCACACTGCACTTGGCATTACTACTTCACTGTGCACTGGACTGGAAGAAAGGATATACTTATATAAAGGTTAGTAGTTAAAAGTTATAATTGTATTTTATGCCAGTATAATTATGCAAATCACTTAAGTTTAATAAATGTCTATATAGATCCTTAATTATATTTAAACATGTCACATTTACTAGTATTAGTGTGTGCATGGTGAGTGTATGTATACTAGATATATTTCATTTTACTATATGTGTGTCTGTGTTAATCTAGGACATTTGTGTATTCTGTAACTTGAATTGTGTATTAATAAGTTGATAAAAGTTTACATGTTATGTTCATGTGTGTAGATAAACATACCTTCATGATGTATTTTATATCATGAACAGGTTTTCACGAGGGATTTAATCTATTTACAAGGGATTGTGACCACCCAAATACACCCCAGTGGGATTCACCGGGTATATATATATATGTATACTTATATATTGTTGCATTGTAACATAATATTATATTTATTGTACCATATTTATATAAAATGTGTAAATCCATTAAACTTACATATCTAAGCTTATAATTGTGAAATGTTATAAATGATATATCATGTATAGCTTATAAGTGTATTAGATTATTAATTAATCTGCTTCAGTTTTGATGTACTAGATATAATTGTATGTTTATTATTGTATTCATTGTTCCAGGGTGTCGGTTTACCAGAACAGAAAATAAATTAATCATACCTCACACCCTAGCCTGTGTCATTATGTTATTTGGGATAATACATATGCACATATAATGGCTACAACAATGGAGCCCCCAGTGAGGATCTGTTGACGACTGATGTTGGGTGGAGTGACAATTCCTGTGATCCAGTGACCATCCCAGTGATCCAGTAATGGACTGCATACCCATGTGAATACGTGGTAATTATGAACTATTTGTGTGCAGAATGTTATCAACTTGTACCAAGATTCACGCAATCATGGACTCGTTTCCAAAGCTAGCTATGAAGCAATTGCTTTAGTTCTGTCTCATCAAATGTGCATTTGTTCTATTGTCAGCAAACAGTCATAATTGTGTTATACTCTACAGAAGATGCATCTTATATTTCTTTGAAAATTCAAATGGTGTTCCCTGTCATACTTTGTTACTGATTGTACACTGCAGTGTTATTCCTGTGTTGCAACACATTTTTTTCTATTGTATATTCAACCATGGTGCCATTACTGACTCAGTTAGGTGTGTCAGTTTGTTGAGTCTTACCCTGAAGGTCACTGTAAACTGTATTTCTTTATTTATTAGTGTTGACTACATGCATATGTACCCGGATACACATGCATTAGTGCTGCATGGTATTTCATTGTGATGTGTATGAGTGGTGTGCTTTGTGTTTACATAATGCTTAGATAAGATTTAAATACTTGCTTAATTAATAAAGTGTGTAGGCATTCATCTTAGGCATTATGCATTAACCAAACCAAAACAGGTTATCCATAAACCCAGAATGACTCTGTGACTGACTCACTACATATATTTATCAACACCCTGCACTCACAGCACCTTGCAC